GTTAAATTTTTAGGAATGTACTCTTACAGAATAATTACAGAGTAATCTTTCCAAAGTGTGATTTCTAACCTAATAAAGGATATCACTCCTTTATTAATAATCCTTAAATGCATGTGGTGGTTAATTTTATATGTCACCTTGACTGGGTTAAGGCATGCCAGACAGCTAGTAAAAAAAAAAAGAAAAAAAAATTATTTCTGTGTGGGTGTTTTCAGAGATCAGCATTTGACGATGATTAGCATTTGATGATTATGTAACTATACATATTCCATTGGTTCTGTTTCTCTGGTGAACCCCTAGGTAATCCACTGCAGAGATACTGATGATTTCATGGGCTTGCGATTATAGGATGGTGTGGAGAGGATGGTAGGGAGGTGGCCCAGTGGGAAGCAGCTGTGGAATTTTAAGTCAGGCCTCTACCACAGAATTTTTCAAGTTGTGAGTGTGTAGTAAGCAATTTTATGTGTCAGCTTGAGTGAGCCCCCGGGTGCCTAGATATTTAGTTAACATAATTTCTGGGTGTGTCCATGAGGGTGCTTTTGTATGCAATTGATTTTTTAATCAAAAGACTGAGTAAAGCAAATGGCCCTCCCCAATCCCTATAAGGTCTGAATAGATAAAAGGCTTAGTAAGAAAGAATTCCCTCTCTCTGCCTGACTGTCTTCAAACTGGGGCACTGGACTCCTGCCCCCAGACTTGGACTGAAACTTATACCATCAGGTCTCCTGGTTCTCAAGCCCTCAGACTCCGACTAGAACTATACCATCAGCTCTCCTGGGTCTCCAGCTTGCTGACTGCATACTTTAGGCCTTTTCAGCCTCCATATTTCATGAGCTAGTTCCTTATAGCAGATAGATGATAGGTAGGTAGGTAGCTAGGTAGGTAGACAGATTGATTGATTGATTGATTGATTGATTACATTAGTTCTGTTTCTCCAGAAAATCCAGACTAACGCAGGGTGGTAACCAATTAAAGGGGCATTTAACAATTTATTGAGTGCAACTAGTATTGTTTTGTACAAAATAGAGTATTTTCATAGAATAGAGCATTAAAAATAGAATAAAGTACACAGCACATAGAAAGGGTTAAGTATTATCTGGTGAATCTTCAGTTTCTGTGATTCACATCCACATAGGTATACAGTAAGTACCTTTCCTACTATAAATCAGGATCAGTGGCTCACGTCTGTAATGCCAGCACTTTGGGACGTGGAGGCAGGTGGATCACCTGACATCAGGAGTTCAAGACCAGCCTGGCCAACATGGTGAAACTCCATCTATACTAAAAATATAAAAATTAGCTGGGAGTGGTGAGGGGTGCCTATAATCTCAGTTATTCGGGAGGCTGAGGCAAGAGAATCACTTGAACATGGAATCAGAGATTGCAGTGAGCCAAGATCGTACCACTGCACTCCAGCCTGGGCAACAAGGGTGAAACTCCAACTCAAAAAAAAAGGAATCATGCTGAAGGAGAAGTTGGACTGGTGCTGAACAGTTCTCGCAGACTACACTGTATCTCCTCCCCTGGAAGTGATTCCATCCTGAAATGACTGCCTACTTCACACAGTACAATTAGTACTTGGCATGTCCAACTATCATGTGACTCACTGTGATTATGCATGTGGTTTTACTGCTCAACCACACGCTAGGTTCTCTGCAAACCAGGACAGGTTTCTTTCTGCTTCACAACTTCCTCCAACCTTGGCCCACTGTCTGGCACATAAAGTAAATTGTTAATGAACACTGGTTAGCTGGCTGAATTTTACAAACCATCAAGTTTATTAAGAGAATCAGGTGAAATGTTTAGATGGAATAAAACCAATGGCCCCTCAACAACAGTCTGAATGCCAGATGTCCCCTTGAAAATGACAACTGAATAGCAGTCCAAACAAGTGCATTAAGCCATCTCTAGCAAGAGACAATGCAGCTGCAACCCTGCATTCATAAAGAGAGCAGAAACCAAGACAACCTATTTTCATTCTGCTTGGAAATCTATGCTCTTCCCGAGCCATCAAAATTGAGTGAGAAATTGCAGTGGATACAATCAGCTCTTATTTATTATCAACGTTTCACAGCAGCAAGCATTAATAATACATCTTATGTTTATAAAGCTTTGTCTTCAGCCTTCCCTGATACTGAACCAGCAAGATCTGAGCATGTCTATGGGATCCAGCCTTTGTTAGTAAAATAATTTCAAAGAGAGGGGGAAAAATCAAAATAATATAAAGCTATCTAAATAGTCAGCATGCAATTATTCAATTATGCTACTTTATGATGTATCTGACATAAGTCATTATAATAAAACCAGAAACAAATGCCACACATAAAACAAGAACCACCAAAATAAGTCCCCAGTATGAACAGGGCTTCCTGCCTCAATGCATAATTTATACTGTCTATAAAGCCAGCACCTGGGAACTGCTAATTTAATTAGTTTGTATCGAACACTTAATTGAAGTAAGCCAAGGTTTAGGACTAGCTTGACAGCTGTTTTCATTACATCTAATTAATCTGTGGCATTTGGTTCTTTTTCCTGCTGTATTAGTCAGCTCAGGCTGCCATAACAAAATACCAGTCTGGGTGTCTTAAACAATAGAAATATATTTTCTCATAATTCTGGAGGCTGGAAAGTCTAAGATCACGCTTCCAGCAAGGTTCACTTTCTGGTGAGGGCACTCTTGCTGGCTTGCAGATGGTTGCCTTCTCACTATGTTTTTGCATGGCCCTTCCTTGGTGTGTGCACATGGAGATTGAGAGATTGAAAAAGACAGAGAGATGAGCTCAAGCTCTCTGGTGTCTCCACCCTTATAACCTCAGTTAACATTAATTAACTTCCTTAGAGGTCCCATCTCCAGATATAGTCACACTGGGTATTAAAGCTTCAACACATGAATTTGGGTGTAACGTTAAGTACTCTGTCCATAACACTCATCTTGGCATAAATTGTAAAGATCATTTGGTTTTGTTTGGTCTGAGGAATCAGATGACATTGTAACCGAGGGAGTGTATCCAACTCCCAGAGATCGGAGGTTCTTGGCCTCTCTAACCCTGAAGAATGGGGAAAGGGGCCCCAGAGGCATGGTGAGTTTGCCATTCAAATAAATGTTATTTACTCAAAGAGTTTTGTGGAAAAGTGATTTATTAGGCAGACGAAAGAGAGAGAGACAGAGACAGAGACAGAGAGACAGAGACAGAGAGAGCTCCTACACCACGGTGGGAGTGGACCCAGAGGAGGAATCCGCATGGGTAGGAGCAGCTGGAGTTTTAACCCTTGAGTTATTCCCTCCCCATTCATGTTCTCCTCCAATAAGAGGAGTTCTTTCAAACGTCCTCTGGAGCGAATGATCTTTGACTCTGATATCGGATTGGCTATTTGGTCCACAACTCTGGTTACAGAGCCTCCACTTCCCGAAGCTTTTCTCGGGATTTTGGGACAAAGGAGCCTCACCTGGCTTGCCCTACCTGGCCAGCACAAGAAAATCAGATAAAAAACTTTTCATTTGAAACCCTTCTGGTTCCTGGATGGCGGCCTGGAGGAAGTGCTCAAAGGAAATCCCTGCATTTGAAAGCACACCCCTCACAGACCCAGGAAGAGAAGCTACTATAACACAATCCCTCAATATCATATCAATGTTATACTCCCTTAATTTTTCCTCATTCCAACAATTTATATGACAACAGTAGAAAATGGTGCCTGTTCAAGGACACATCATCCGCCATGTCTCACCAACGCTACCCAGGAACAACCATGTTGGCCCAGCATCTCCCCCACAAAGTTTTCCCTGACAGCCCTAGCCTCCACAAAAGATATCATTCATTTATTCACCTATCAGCACACATTTATTAAGTCACTTATACCAAGCACTGTACAAGACAATAGGGTTACAGGGTCAAAGAAGCCCCAGTCCATGCCACCAAGGAGTTCCCAGCCCAGTGGAGAACATAGAAAGGAAACAGTAAGAATTGAGGAGAAGCTCAACCTTAACATCTGCAGGCCCCAGCCTGCGGGTAAAAATAGGGGCCTGCATATTATATATTAGAATGTCTAAGTTATATAATTCAAGCTAGCAAGCAGTTAAATAAAATATGTTCTTTCCTATAATCTTAGTAAGTATAACTTCAAAATTACCTGGAAGGCAGATTCGAATTTAGAACTAGCAGAACAGGAAAAAAAAAAAAAAAAAACATTCTGTGGCTTACTGCCCTCCTCTTCCTTCCCCCAGCTCCAGGCTTCCTGACAAGGGGTCTGGCACACACTTGTGGACACCGTCACATGTCCAAACTCTACCCACAGCCCCTGCAAATAGCTGTCCCTTGATGGATCAAATAAAAAGACCTACAAATGTCCTGGAAATAGACTTGGGGCAGAGGGTTTTAGAGCCCGGGTTTGAAATGTGTTCAAGGATGGGGCACCCATCAAGAGAGACATTATAAAAAAGGACAGAGCAGGGCCCTGTAAGCCAGTGCTTGGCAAACACCTGCATGAGCACCACCTAGAGAGTGTGTTAGAACATGGATTCCTGAACTCTACCCCCAGAGATGAGGCTTTGGTGGGTCTGGGGTGCAGCCCAGAAATTTTCATGTCTAACCATTCCCACAAGATGTCTATCGGAGGACCACACAATGAATAGTCTGAAGCACAGGACCCAGAGCAAGGCACTGTTAAACCAAGTCTAATGGTGGCACGGCTTTAGTGAGATATGTGCTATCAAAAAACTATGTAGAGTGCTCGCTGTAGCCAGAGTAACCGCGTGTAGACTTACATATATACAAGTATACACTGAGAGCCAACTTTGTGTCACGTACTATATCAGCTGCCTCACTCATTCACCAAATAATTCTTGAAAAAGAGACTATGAATGTAAAAGAACTATGCACCAAAAAGGCCCCATCTTATTGTATGTAAGTTTAATTTTTAATTTAAAAATGTTTAAAACAAAAGCAAAAAAAAATCAATCTGTTCTAGAGGTTTCTCCTTTTTTGTGGTGGTGGGGGGTTGGGTCCTGTTTGCAGTATCATACATGATCAAAGTGCTGCTAGAATGTTCACAGCTGTTACTGCAAATTCAAATCCTAGGAAAGACTTCTCCTGGGAATTTGCTTTAGATCAAGGTTGGGCTTCCTGGTATAAGGCTGCACCCACAACTGGGCAGTTTCAACAACACAGGAGCCTTTCCCCAGACCATGAGATTTCCACTTCTAACAGCAGAGTGGCTCATATCAGAATGTTACTCCTGCTACCAATTATCAACTCTCGTCAAAATATTTTAAAAACTGGGAGGCGCTAGAAAACAATCTACTGTGTGCCAGATACAAGTGTAGGCACGAATATACTTGAGCGAGAAAAGAAAAAATCCATGCCTTCCTTAATATATACGCCTGTAGCATTCATCCGCAATTCTCATAATGTTAAAAAAACAATCAGAGAGAACCTCACTTTAAAGATGAGGAAACTGTTTCTGAGATGTTAAGAAATTTGTTACATAGAACCCAGCAGAGGAAATATTTGAACTCAGGCCACCCCCATGCCCTGCCTGCTCTATAGTGAAGAATGGAGGAAACTCAAGGGAGACAAGGAGCTCTAGGTAGACCTTTTGAAAGAGGTCGTGAGTTTTACTTAGAAAAGTTAGCAAGGTAGAAGGAACAAAGAAAAATCACAATTGAAATAAAGACCTTCCAGCAGAGAGGAGGGTTTGTGTGGAGGCAGGAGTATTATATATGACGGTGAATAGAAGGAATTAAGAGTGGATTCTTTTATCTGCAATGAAGGGTAGCCACAGGAAAGTGGGAAAGCGAGGAGGGACGTGTGTATGGGGGAAATAACCCATGGATGTAGGCACGAAGCACTAAGCAAATGGGTTTCAAGGAAAGACAAATCAGGTTTGGAAGATTCATTTCTGAAATCCATTTTATGCATGTTCTTCTAGTCCACTCACCTCCTGCAGTAATTAATGTCCACCAAGATTGTTTTGTAGCTATTTACACACCTCCAAATGAAACCTGTTAATGTTCTGAATATTTATTTGGGTAGTCTGTTATTATTCCATTATCCACATGTCATCTGCATCTTGGCAGCCTCAACAGCCTGCATCATTTGCGAGCAAGAACTGCGTGAGTGGATTTCACAGAACAGCCCCTCGTTATTTGCTGATTTGGTTCAAAAATGACTGAGGTGTCAATATACTTTGCAAGGAAGTTATTAGCAATGAAAATGTCAAGTTACTTCTCACCAGTGATGAACGGAACAAACACAACGTGTCCCTTATGAAGGTACTCAGGAACATTCATATTTGTAGAGCCCAATTTGATAAGCAGAGAGAAACAGAACTAGTTCCTAATTGGACAGATTTCTTTATTACATCTTGATCTAAACAGAGCTAATAATTTTGGTCATAACTTCTCATATAAATCTTAAGATGGTTATGTGGAATTTAAAATCATCTCTAAAATTCTATCAACTAAATAAACTTCACCAACTCCCTTACATGTTCCTTTAACCACTGAATAAGAGAACAAATGAGATTTATCACAGTATATTTTAAAATCATGTACAAAAGAATATAGCATCAAGGTGACTTCCAAGGAAGTGAATTCTCCTTGTGTTGCTGAACTGGAGGTGTCGGGGGAATACTGATGTTGGTTTGGTTTTTGGCAGCGGAAAACCCACCTAGTAGTCACCAAAAAGAGAAGCACAGACTCCCCACCTTGCAGTGTAGCATCCCATTAAGAAGGTGTCAGGTCTTAATTCCTCAGTACCTAAAGCACTGTATGAAGTATCCACTCTCCACAAAGAAGAATACTACCAAATTTGAGACAGTACCTTATGCCATGTCGAGTATATGGCACAATCTGCCATAAGGCAGATTTCTGTTGGCCCCTGCTGTAGAAAACTCAGCTTTAGCTGTGTACGTACAGAGCAAGCCACCCACATCAGGAATGAGCATGGAAATGAGATGAGTTAGAACCTTTTGTGATTACATTGAGGCTCTTTGAAGGCTGCTGCTCACCAAGTTGACCTTAACATTCCCCTCAGCTTGATTAAACTTAGACAGGCTTCTTCCTGATCACAGGTCTCTGACTTCCCTTAGAGCATTTACTTTATATAATTTGCAATTGGAGCTGGGCATGGTGGCTCACATCTGTAATCACACTTTGGGAGGCCAAAGTGGAAAGATCCCTTGAGGTCAGGAGTTCAAGACCAGCCTGGGAAACGGTGAGCCTCCATTTCCACAAAATAAATAAATAAATAAATAAATAAATAAATAAATAAAATTTAATAGCCTGGCATGGTGGCACACAACTGTAGTCTCAGCTACTCAGGAGGCTGAGGCAGGAGGATCCCTTGGAGCCTGGGAGTCTGAGGCTACAGTGAACTATGATCTTGCCAAAGCACTCCAGCCTGGGTGACAGAGTGAGACTCTGTCTTCAAAAAAAAAAAAAAAAAAAAAAAAATTTCAGTTGTACATTTTTATATGCTCCTTTGAGATGTAAATGTTTTATGACCCAAGAATGTCTTTCTCAAGGACTTGGAAGCCATCCCTTTGAAATGTAATCATCAAGAAAGATATTTCTCCTATCTCCCAGTCTCTCCAGGAGGGTAGGAGTCTAACTTCCATCATGGTCAATTAGCAAACACAGATGACCTAATCACATTGACCAACCTCCTGCTAGGTTCTTCCATAAGATGATCTGAGAGCACTGGGAGAAAGGAAATAAGAAGTCTAATAGAGCATCCATGCTTTCTGAGGTTCAAAGTTAGACTCACCAGTTGGGGTGGACCAGGGAGGATGTGATCAAGACGCAGTGGCAGGAGATTCTAGGCTGGTGACTCAGGCTCAAAAACTATGGGTTTGGGGCAGGAAGAGCACATGGCTATGTCCTATGCTTTGGAGGACAATGACCAGCCTTGTGAGAGTCCACTAAGAGAACAGTAATCCTGGAGTCCAAGCTTGGGCACGCTGTCTTGTGCAAGGACCAGGCTACGCATCGGGAACCCACAGCAACAGCAATACCTTGTGGGTCCAAGAGACAATGGCCGTGGAAGACTCCAGTTTCCTTTGCTTGGCTTTTGGTTAAGAGGGCTGGTTCTCCTCATTCAAACAAATGAGACCCAGAGTTCTTAGGCAGTTGGAGGTTGAGACGCGGGACAGGTGAACTTGAAGTGGAAGATAATGAAGGTAATGGACTTCCTGCTCATAGCACAGCTGCTCAAACAAATGATTTTTAAAAAGTAAATAGATGTTAATACATTTAAAGAGAAAAGTACACCGACATTTCTGAGCTGGTCATCCAACATAGTCTTTGGGTTTGTTTTTTTTTTTTTTTAATGAAAATAGACATCAGACAAGAAAGTACTTCTCTCTTTTCTATAGACATAAAGGAAATATTTGTGAAGGTGTAGAAACCAGAACTCAATCATATTTGGATAGGTGGAGATATAAGTTTTCAGCTGGAATAATTTCCAAGCTCATATATATCTTATCTCTACTGGATATGACTTAACTTATTACAATAACACTGCGAGCCCTGACTAGAGCCCCAGGAAACCTCTAAAAGCTTCAGCTGTTCAGTCACTTTGGCTACCAAGTAGTTGAAGGAGGCAGCAGTGTTAGAATCAGCGAATCTCCCTTAGCCTCAACAAAGGTTCTCTGCTTCAGATGGAATTTGTATTAAGTAGTAATAGGCAGACTCAACTTACCAGGAATTTTATTTTTAACTTAACTATTCTGTTTTTTTTTTTTCTTGAGATGGAGTCTCGCACAATTGCCAGGCTGGAGTACAGTGGCACAATCTCGGCTCACTGCAACCTCCGCCTCCTGGGTTCACGTGATTCTCCTACCTCAGCCTCCAGAGTAGCTGGGACTACAGGTGCAAGCTACCACATCCACCTTTTTTTTTTTTTTTTGTATTTTTAGTAAAGACAGGCTTTCACCATATTGGTTGGCCAGGACCTCAAGATCCACCCTCCTCGGCCCCCCAAAGTGCTGGGACTACAGGCGTGAGCCACCACTCCTGGACAACAATTCTTATCACGGAGATAACACATCTCTATAGAAACATTATTTGAAAAAATAAAACATTCCATAATCTCACCATCCATTGATAAGCACAGTAGTATTGTCAATATTCTAAGGTAGATATTTCTAAACTTTCATGCAAATACATACTTTTTAAAAAGCAGACTCACAATGTATATCCAATTAGGTAAACATTTTTCTCTTAGTATATCAAAGTTTTTGTTGTCGTCGTTTTGTTCTTGTTTTTTAGAGATAAGGTCTCACTCTGTTACCTAGGCTGGAAAGCAGTGGCACAATCATACCTCACTGCAGGCTCAACCTCCCAAGCCCAAGTGATCCTCCCACCTAAGCCTCCCAAGTAGCTGGGACTACAGCTAGGCATGATGGAGCATGCCTAATTTTTTTTTCTTTTTTGTAGAGACCAGGTCTCTCTATGATCCTGAACTTGTGGCCTCAGTGATCCTGCTGCCTTAGCCTGCCATAAAATCTTTTCATGGACAATAAATATAGATATGCTACATTATACTGTGTTCCATTATTGAGGAATTTCTACAGACTCTTTAGCAACTCTTCAGATGTATGCATATACACAGCAACATGCACACTATATTCATTTTTGACTTACGGAATTTAACTCTCCTTGGTGATACAGCTGTGCTATATTGTGAGTCTGCACTAAGGGTACATGTGACAGTGGGGAGTTGTCATTTCTTTATCTTTTTTTATGCCTTACAACTCACCCTCCATCCCCAATCACTGTATCAAGAAGAAAGGAGTAAGACGGTCTCACACAAAGCATTCAAATATCCCACCGTTTTGCAGTCATTACTGAGAGGCATATTCCAATGTGACAGCTCGATGACATCTCACCCTCTCTATTAGGATGGGAAAGAGATGATGCCCATTTCCAGGAGGAGGGCTGCATGCTGACATGTGAAACCTATTAACTGATCTTTTAGACCCTTTCTATTACTTTATATCATCTGTACTCTATGAAATCATTTCATTCCAGCTAGACAACCAAATAAAACCTCCACGGAACCTCTGCATGCTCTGTTCTCCCGCCCCACTTCTACTGCTGAGTTGTCTTAAACTTTCTGAAATTAAAAGGCAAGAAAGAAGCTTTCACTCCAAGAAGCCATTAGGCCTCCTGCTGCTTTTGAATGAAG